TTAGTATAAATTTTCTCATAAAGAGAAAAGTAAATATGGATAAAATGTATATCAAAATTAAGTGCAGTTCATCTCTTCTTAATCAGGGTAATTTATATTCCAGAAGCACTTGAGAAATAATTCATGTTAAAAAAAACCAAAAAAACAAACATGCCTTGGAAATAATGAGGTTTTCCTCATTATTTTAAGAACTCTTTTCACTTACAATTTTAAATATTCACTCCTAGCATACAGGAATCCAAATAATTTGTGTTAAATCAACTTTTAATTCTTTCCTGCCCTCTTTGCAGATAAATATATTTAAACTAAGCACCAAATTTGAATTATCACACTGTCACAAACCATTCACATCTTTCTTCTTCTCAAGAAAAACTAAAATCTGAGGGAAAAAAACATTAGTGCTGTTTCCTGAAATTAAGACTTTCTTTGCTTTAAATCCAAAAGCTTGCAGAAGGAGGCAGAACAACCCTCCCCCCTAAGCCTTGCCTCCCAATGTTATTTATGCATTATTCTACTACTCTCTTTTTTTTCCTGTCAATTTCTGTCCATGCGATTCCACGCACACACATTTCCTGGCAAGTCGTATCATTATCATTTGCTAGTTTAAGGACTGGCTGTTAAAACATAATGATCAGTGCTTAATCAGATAAAAAGGGAAAGAAATTATTTCCACACACCTCCACTGAGAACTGATTGAGGAATACAACAGAGTGAGTTCACAGCTAATGTCACAACTGGACATGTTGATACACAGCTCTATGAAGTAAAAATGCTTTTTTGCTATCCCAGAATATGAGCAGGAGTTCAAGGGAACAGATCATTATGCCCCTTTTTTTTTCTGCATTTTTCTGAGCATAACAGAGTTATGTCACTGAATTCTATGCAAAGTGGAGCAGAAAAACAGAAGTCTAAAATAACTCTGACTAGAGGACTGAAAAAATATCCCTAACCTAAAGATCTGGTCTCTCCTGGCTCTGTGGGACTCCTCCTACCTTGCTTTTTGCCAGTGCACTTGTCTAAGTCTAACCTCTACTTTTCCACTTAGGGCACCAGTATTAATTCCCCTGCAAAGAAAATAACCTGGGACTTTTTCTTTATCCAACAATATTAAAAGAAGAAAAGAAAAGGCCCCACAGGAGATGTATTGAAGAGCAACCTGTCATCAAAACCCAAATGAATGGGTAAAAGCATCAGGGCAGGGACATTAGGAGCTATTACTATGGTGTTCTGCTTTGCGAGAACGTGAGGTAAAGGAGTCCCAGTTTAACGCCAGGCAAGCTGGGCTTCTCACATGGACACTAGCACCCCCAAACAGCTTCCCCTTAAATCTGGCACGCCTTTGGCGAGGGGCTCGCAACCCTGTGTGCCCAGGCACGGCATCGCCAAAAGCGCTGCGAAACACACGCGCTGCTCTGATCCTTTTGGGATTTAAACTCCCCGGGACGTCGGGGGCCGATGATGCCAAAGGGATTTGGGAAGGGTAGGGGCCGCGCCAGGAGCTCCCACACCTCTCTCCTCCTGCTGTCCTTCTCCCGGAGCGGCAGCTTACCTGGTGGGTATCTTGCGCGCTGAATGGTGGGGCTGGAGGTGCGGACGGAGGCGGCGGCGGGCGGCGGCGGCGGCGGGGTGGGTGCCGGCTGGGACCTCTCTGCGGAGGCGGGCCCGGGGCCTGGCCTGGGCGGGGGGCGCTCTTCCGACCCGGGCTCTGTCCGCCGGCGGCGGGAGACAAGGCACAGTCAGGGGCGGCGGGGCAGAGGGGAGCTCCCCGCCTCCCCCCGGCGCGGCGCCTCGGAGGGACGTGGGGGCACCGTCCCCCGCACTCGCACGCCAACCCCCCGCCTCGCCCCGCGGGTGGGAAGCGGGAGCCGGCCGGGGAGCGCATTCCTGCCGGCTCCCGCTCCCTCATCACACAAAAGGCAAGAGAGCACCGGGCTGGGACAACGGAGCCGCTGATTTGTTCTCCGGGAGAGGAGCTTGGGGAAGGCAAGAGGATAACCCCGGGCGGGGTGACTGCAACAAGCGGGACAGCATCCCCGAGCGTCCATTTCCCCGTGAGAACTTTCTCTTTTTGGGATGCAGAGACCGGGAAAAAACAGGCTGGGAGTTTCTGTGCAAGGTACCGGCCAGACTTGAGGGGCGTCCTGCCGACCGGGCTAAACCCTGTGCGGTGTCTCCGGGCCCATCATCGCCGGCGGGGAGGAGGGAGCGCAGCCCAGCCGCCTCCTCCCGACCTTCTGGGCGCTGCTAGCCGGGCTCCGCGGCAGCGCGGGGGATGCTCGGCCGCGCCGGCCCCTGCCCACGGAAGCCGGTCCCCGGCGACTTGTTCTCCCGCTTCTCGTCTTTCTTTTGCCTTCCCCGCGCCCCTCGCCTTAGAACCCCCGCCAGCTCCTGGGGTGTTAAGTGCCTGTCAGCTCATCCCTTTCTCTCCCGAGGATTTTGTTCCCTTACGAGCTCCTACGAGGCGGTTTCCCGCTCGGCGCGGAGCGCCCTAGGGCTCCTCTCTGCCCCCCCCGAGCCGCCGGTTACCTAGAGACACTCGCTGCGCCTTTAACCACGCAGCACCCCTCCGGGCTGCCGCCGCCCGAGCCAGGAGCGCAGGGCCGTAAGGGCTGTAAATTAGGAGGAAATAACTACCCTTGTCAAAGCTCTTTTCTTCCTCCGTGCACTTTACATTCAGCCCCGAGTGACACCCCTCCCCACCCTGTAATACGAGGAGGAAACCGTGAAACACTCCATTGTGATTGTGACTTCTTCAGGCGAGTTTCGAAACCTTCATTTACCCAGGAGGGACTGTGGAGGGGGAAGCTCCATTCAATTAAAAAGTTTCGTGCTGGATTTCCACCGCCGGTTAGCTGGCGATTTGGTTTTTTTGGGGTTTTTTTTTGTGGGTTTTTTTTTTTTGGGGGGGGGGGGGTGGGGTGGGGTGGGTGGGAGGGATCGCTCCGAGCCGCACGGTCACTCCAGCAAATATCCACGAGATCGCGTGAGATTCACCTCCGAAGAAACCGTCTGGTCTGGTTTAGTCCATTGTTTTTTACCGGGGCTTGACTCCAGCATAGAACGGTCTCCACGGAGGAGAGAAAAATAGGGCGAAGAATGTAATCGAGTGAAGCGGCTTGGATAAAAGTTAGCGATTCATTCCCAAACTTTTTTTCCTGGAGAAAAAAAAAAATCCTATCCCAATACACTAATCTCCCTACATAAAACAGTGTTTTACACCCTTTCCCTGGGAAATATCCTCGCACGGATTCCATCGTATCCAAAATATTGCAAATTAAGTAACAGCGTTCTTAACTAGCCGCGCTAAGGTGAGCGGCATCTCCGCTCGGGACAGGCTATCGCGGTAATGCTGTCCCGATAACTGTCCCTCTACATAATATCAGAACCCAATGCCCGCGCTTTCTCGCCTCTTTCCAAGACTGAAACTTCTTTCGCAGCTATTAAGGCGAGAAGGCAAAGGCGAGAGGCGCCGCGGGGGCAGGGAGCGGGGCAGCGGCGGCGCAGCCCAGCCTCCCCGCACGGTACCGCCCGTGCCGGGGCACCGCGGCCCCTCGTTACCACTTCTGACCTCCGGAGGGAAAAGTGCACATTTCCGAGGAGCAGATGCCGGGCAGACGTGCCGTGCAAACATCCCGTCTCATTTCAATACAATATGTCACATTCCAGCAATTACCTCTTGGGCGAGCTCTTTGGGCTGCCGAGGGGGGCTGCTCTCTCCCAAAGTGAGATGAGCTCAACCTGCCTCGCCGTCCCTATTAGACAGCTGAACTTGTGCAAACAGAACCACCTATTTCCCAAGCGCGGCTAAAGGAGGGAGACAAATTGCTGCCATTCATCACCGGCGCTGTAAACTCCCCGCCGCCGCCGGCAGCATCATTTCCATGACAACAACTAGCAGAAATACCTTAGTACCACCGACTCCGGCTCCCGCTCCGCTCAACCACAGCCCTCCCCTTTGCGAAGAGCAGCAGTGCCCCGCGCACGGCAGGAGTTGCCGAGACGGCAGGGACGCTCGGAAGACGAGCGGCAATTGAACATCCACGGGGAGGATGGGGGAGGAGGGGGGGAAGGTGAGGGAAAAGTTTCAGCGAGAGCCCGGCACGGCAGCGCATCGGCTGAGCCGCATCGCTCGCCGCCGGCATCTCCCCAGCATCTGTACCCCGGCGGCGTAACTTTCACGGAGTGGGGACATGCCGCGCTGTCCCTATCCCTCAGCCGCTCCCGTTCACTCGCATACGTACTCGGTTGCTGTGGAGGTTCCGTCTTTACATCTAGTTTGTAGGTGCCCGCTTCCTTAAAGGCGAGTGTAGGCGCTGTCCAGCGGCAGGACCCGAGACACAAAATCCCTCAGACTCCGGGTAGCTGCAGGTCCAGAGGGTGCGTTATCCCGAGGCATGGAAAAGGAGTGAAAAAGCCTGAGGAGCCAGGAGCCCGTCCCCGGGCGAAGGGAGGGAGTGAGCAGGCGGACGGGCGAGGGATGCCGAGCGGCGGCCGCCGCCGCGATGTGCCTTTGTGTGTGTGCGGCGGGAGCCGGGCCGGGACCTGTGCCCGCGTCCCGGTGCGAGTGCCCCGGGGTGCGCGTGTGCCTGCGCCGGAGAGAGGGGACGGAGGCGCCTCTCTGCGCTGCTCTCCCGCTCCCTCTCTCTGAACGTCATTTATGTGAGAGGAGCCCTAGCGGCCTCTCCATAGAGCGGCTGGAATGCGAAACGTCAATAGTGACGCCATGGGAGCCTGACGCTACTGACCCCCCCCCCCCCCGCCCCAGTGTGTGCGCCGCGCTCCCGCCGCACCGCGCCGCGCCGAGCTGTGCACAGCCGCGCACAGCCGAGAGGAGAGGTGCGGAGCACTGCGGAGCTCCGGCAGAGCCGTGCTGAGCCGCCGGCAGCGGGACGGCACGGCCGGCCGGCCGCCTCGGGCCTCTTGCCCGCCACAACCCGGCGAGTCGTTCACAAATCTGATAATAATAGTACTATTAATAATTATTATTATTAAGATAGTGATAATAACAAAAGTATTATATCTTTACTGGAGAGACTCAAATGAAAAGAGCTTTGCTTGGTTACTTAGTGGAACTTTTAGGATTAATTAATAAAGGTTTCTTTCACTTTTTTAATTTTTAAAAAACGTTTTTTCTTTTTGCCTTTTTTTTTCCGAATTATTTTCTCTTCTCCAACTTTTTTTTTTTCTCTTTTTTTCACTCTCTTTTTCTTTTCTTTCGAAACTTTCCAGTGCGCAGGAGCAAGGAGCAGGTTGCCGGAGGTGCCGCTCACAGAGCGGGCACAAGTGCGAGCGGCCCTGAGAAGCGTCCGCGCTGTCGCCCACTTGTGACTGTGTCCGTGTGTCTTTCGGTGTCTGTGTGTCTGCCTGGGGCACCGGGCTGGCGGCGGACGACTCTCCCGCTGTCTCCGCTGGCGGCAGCCGCCCGCCGCCGTGCCCGGTGCCGTGTTTACATCCACCGCCGGCGGCCGGGATGTTCGCGACTGTCACCGCAGCCGTGAGGGCCGGTGCTGCGCTTGTGCTTCACACAGAGGGGCTCCGCCAAGTATGTTCTCCCGACGGACGGGAGCCGGAGCGGACGAGGCGCCTGCCGCCCCGAGGAGGAGGGACCGGCGGCAGCGGCGGCACTTTCGCTTTGCATCTCGCTCCACCATCCCGCTGCCGGCACCGCCGCGGAGCGTGCTCCCTCCCGGGGAGACAAAGCCGGAGCTGGCGCAGAGCTCTGCGGAAGCCGCGGACCGGCGGCGCTACGGCCACGTCCGAGCCCGGGATCCCCTTCCCGAGGCGGTGCGCGCCGTTTTCCCCCGGGCGCCGGGGCGTCCCTCGCTCCCTCCCTCCCTGGTTCCCTCCCTCCGTCCGGGGCCGCGGCGCTGCCAGGCCCCGCTCCCCCCGCGGGGGAACCCGCCGGGCTCCCCGCGCGGCCGCGCTTCCCCTCCGGACGCCGCCGGCCCCCGGCGGGGGCCAGCCCGCGCCCCCACGTCACCGCCCTCGTGCCGCCGCCGCGGCCAATCCACGCACAGGACGCGGCGGGCCCCGTTCCGAGGGGCGGGGCGCGGCGGGGCTGACGCACGGCGGCCGCGTCATTGACGCAAGCGGCGTTGCTAAATTTAGCCCCGCCGGGCCCCGCGCGAGGCGCTCGGGATCGCGCGCGAGGGAGGGGGCGGGGCCGGAGCCCATTGAGCGGCGGCGGCGGCGGCGGGCGGGAGCGCGGGGCTATTTTTGGGACACCCCCCTCCCAGCCCCCCTGGTTGTGATCCGGCCAAACCAAATATAGATGCGGGCGGGTATTTATAGCGCCGGCGAGTCCCATTGTCGTGGGGCCACGCCCCCGCCCGGCTTCCTCTGCGCAGGGGGTGGAGTGCGGGGCAGCGCACGGGGACCCCGGCGCGTACACCCATCCTCCCGGTAGCCCTCACGGCGGCGGGGGGGAGGGGGAGCCGCAGCGGCACGCTGGCGGGGGGTGCCAGACCCGGCTTCCTCCTACAAAAAAAAAAAAAAAGTGTCTTGGTGGCTGTGGCTGGAGTTCCCCTCCGCGTGGCCGGCTCGGTGCGATTCCCTCGGCGCAGGGCGCTGCCTTCCCTCCCTATCGCATCGCATGACATCCCCGCGCGGTCCCCCGGCGAACCACTGCTGACATTCCCGAGCGACGGCCGAGCGCCCGCGGCGCGGGGGGGTGGTGCGGAGGCGGCGGAGGGGATGGAGGCAGGATCACCCCCCCGCCCCGCCGGCGAGGGACAGGCGTAGCAGCGCGGGGTGTTTCCGCGGCGGGGATGCCCCGCTCGGTCGGCCGCGGCGGGGATACCCCCTGCCTGACGCAACGGAGCGGAGCAGGGGCGGCGGCGGGCACAGCGCATAGCGCCGCGGTGACCTCATGGCAGAAGCGGCGCTGGTTGGGAGTCCTCCCCCCGCCCCCCCTCCAAACCAGCCCTCCCTCCCCTGCCGCCTGTTGAGTAAGCGCCGGGAGAAGCGAAAATGCCATGACGGGCCGGTGCGCTCATCCCCGGTGCTGACACGGCGCGACAAGGGAGATTCCCTTTGATGCTGCTGCCGGCGTGGGCGGCTGAGGGCAAGGGAGGAGAGACAGAGAGGGTGGCACTTTCCGCCCACCCCTCACCCCGGGCACTGGCACCGATAAAAATACTCCGTTTTCCATGCTGTCATTTCTCCTTTGCATCTCGGCCTCTCTGCTGGGAAAGGGACTCCGGGGAGCGCCGCCGCCCTCCTCCGGGCCCCCTCGCCCCGCTCCGGGCGGGCTACCCCCGAGAGGGGTATAAAGTTCCAGAGTCATGCCGAAACTTGCAGCTCCGCACTGAAAGTGTGTGCAAGAACAAAACGTCGGTGCCAGGTGGACTGTCCTAGAAACCGTATTGCTCCCCCCGCCTTTCCTCCCCCGGGTACTCCGTGCAACTTCGCAGTTTCCTCGAGCTGTTCCTGTCTCCCACGACGTGAAAATATCGTCATGCAAGAAGGCTAAAAAAAACCCCCAACCAACAAAACCCACTCCAAACCCAAAACCGGCGGCAAGAGTGTTTTGAAAGCCTTTAAAATAATCTTTGAGGTGCTATTTAAAGAACAGGAAATGGGATGTGTGGAGAAAATGATTAGAAAGTGGCATTGAGTGCGCTATGTGCTTCGGGCAGATGCGGGTGTTGCGCAGGGAGCCGGGCACTCGCTCACCGACCGACCCAAGGCAGTGGTTCGCTCTAGGGAGAGCACGGTCTGCTGTCCTGCAGTTATTTATGACATGAGAGGTCACTCACATTACTCTGTGTGCTTCCCATGAGGCGAAAAGGAAGTTTTTCGTGCAAGGAACTCCCAATCCATTAAGCATAAACACTGAGGTGGGGGTGGGGGGAGAGATAAGGGGACAGGAACAACAGTAGGCAAATTGTCTAACTGGTGTGTACACAGCTTGATTCGCTGGAGGCGGCTGTGCAGGAGAGAGGGCCAGAAGGATGTCATTCCCAGGGCTTATTGGATAACTTGGAATAATAAAACCAAGCACTGCAACAACGGGAGGAAGCTTGCAGCAGTATGAAGGAGGCCTTGGGTGAAATAAAGTTCAAGGAAATGGGGAAGGTTGTTGAGGGGTGTTTTCTGGGTGCTGCCAGAACTGGGGAGACTGAAGGCTACACTGAGAGCAGACAGTATGGAGAGGCTGAGGGGTTCACTTCCAATACCCATGCATGTTTGCATTTATGGCCAAATAACTTGATGTCAACTTGTTAACAGAATTTTCTTGGCTGCCCCAAGACCAGAGGCAGTCTTTAGGCTGTAGATTTCTGGGGCCAAGGCAATGAAATGTCACTGTTTTTAGGGTAATGATGCCCAAATCAAACTTCTGAAATCCTGACTGCCTGCAATCTATCCAGAGGCACCTAAATCGGACAGTGATGAGACAAGGGAGAATGGCCTTAAACTGAAGGACGGCAGGTTCACATTAGATATTAGGAAGAAATTCTTTACTGCAAGGATGCTGAGGCACTGGAATAGGTTGCCCACAGGTGTTATGAATTCCCCATCCCTCGGGGTGTTTAAGACTAGGCTAGATGGGGCTTTGAGCAACATGGTCTAGTGGAAGGTTCCCTGCCTATGACAGGGGTGGTGGAACTGGATGATCTTTAGGATCCATTCCAACCCAGGGCATTTCATGACAGATTCAGTAGTACCATAGAAATGGCATCTAGTCTAACCTCCTATGCAAAGAGTATCCCCTGGCATAGTTTAAAATAAAATTTCGTGTCTTCCTCCAGGATGTAGAAAACAACTGCTCATCTGCCTAAATGCCATTCTAGGGAAACCCCAAAGAGGAGTTGGCTAGTGCACCTAAATTACACTATAGCTCAGTAGTTCCAGCACTTGCACAGAAAACAGGACATTCAGATTCACTGAGTTTGTCTGGAGCAGGGAGGCAAGGGTGGGAATGGGGAAACAACCTACATTCCCTACCTCCCAGGCAATTGCTATAATCTCTGCATCATTCTGGGTGGTATCTTAACCACTTGTTTGAAGTGGTGAAACCACTTTCAGGTTTGTGTGCAAGCACTGTAGTCTAGTGCTTCAGGCTGTCTGCTAGGATGGAGGAGATCTGCCTATCCTACCCATTCCTGCTTAAGGATGGCCTGTGTTATTTAGTATAAAAATACTGCCATGGCCTTAAGAGAACTTTCTTGTCTGATTGAGCATGATTTCTATGTTAAAGTTCCTTTATCCCCTCCATATCGTCATAGACTACCAATAACTTGGTGATGAGGCCATTCTTTCAGATAAAGGTCAGTGTGGATTTGAGTCTTCTTAAGATAAGAAAGGAGCTGAATCACAGATCTTCTGTTTCTAGGGAGTGCTGTAATTGTCAGAGCTACAGAAAATAGTACCTGTCTTCTTTCAGCTGTGTCTTTAAAAAATCTCATAGGTGAGGTAGGGTTCTATTAGCCTAAGACTTCCTTCTATCCCAAGCTACATTTCCTTGCTCTGGAGGGGTGGGATTTGGGATATGACCCTTATCATCGTGTTGAACTTGGTCTTGTTTTGTATCCTTTCCTCACCCTGCAATCATGTGAAGGGTTAAATGATTACATTGGATTTCTGAATTTGTGGGCATAGGGTACTAGAAAAAACATTGCAGTTTTTAATCTCATCATCTAAAACATCCTTGGATTTAGGTCTGAGTCAGACTCCTGCCCTTCAGACGTATTCTGTCGTTCAGAAAATAAATATAACACCTTCTGGTGATGATCAAGGTGGCTAAAGTCTTGAAAATAGGGTGTGACCCTCCTCAAAATGACACTTAGCAGAGTTTGATAGCCTAGAACAGCAGCTCTGCCTCAGCTACCTTATAACATTAGGCCAGAATGTTTCTAGATGAGAGGTAGCATGCTACAAAAGGTTATCAGAACACCCAGTTTATCACTGCTGTGTTTCCAAACTGAAAAAGGAATTAATTCTGCCTCCTTTGCTTGAAAGGAGCCTTTGTCATAGAGAGGTCATGATGAGGAAGAGGGGAAGGCCTATCTTAGTCTTTGGTGGTGTATTTGGCAGGCTGTGCCCTGCTAAAACCAAGTGCTAGTCTTCAGTAAATGAAGTTCCAATATAATCTAGCTTGCTGTCATAGTTTTACAGTCAAACATTTATCTTTTCTTTTACAACTAGTTAAAGACATGGTTGCATGGTTTATGCTCAGATTTTCCAAATGACTATGATTGGATCATGGCCATGCATTGGAAATTTTTGCCCCAAAGGAAGAAAATTTGAGAAAGATTCAAATGATTCAAACCCAGTCTTTTATGAATGTTAGAAATATGCACAGTATGCTTTGTTCACAATAGCTCTGTTTTCCCAGACAGAAGCTCCACCAACTGGTGGAATTGCCCTGGAATTCTGTAATACCACAGATGGGGAGGCTTGAATATTCCTGGACTGACTCAGTCTGTTCACTTTGCCTGGCTTGTAAGACAATAGATTATTCTTCCTTGGTTGTGGAGATCCAAAATTAAAAGTAAAGGAGGTCACATATTAACAAATGGAATGACTGCCTTTTAGACAAGCCCACAGACTGAACTATGATCATATTAAGCAGAGGGGCTGTTGAGAGTATAATACCTACTGCCAGCATAAGAGCTGATTAGGAATGGAAGAAACCAGGACCAGACAAGGTTCAGACATGCAAGCACAGCAGATTATTAAATAAGGAGATGAAGGAGCATTCAGAGGGATCTTAAATTAAGTACATTAATTATGTAATAATGAATCAGCTTTAAACTGGACTTATAATGGATACAAAAGAACTACATTTTGCATTGGCCTTGATACTTTCAAAAGGACAATCTTACTTGATTGTGCTCACTTGAAGAAAAATGAGAGAATGGGGAAGAAAAGAAAAAGGCTCAAGCTCATCTTATCCTAGGCAAAGATCTCACAGACTGTAATGTTTATTACAAAGAGATGGATTTTGATAAAAGATCAAGGCCATGGGAATGGTTTAAAACCCCCAAAATATAATATTTTCCCCTCTATCTCATAATTAATAAAATTATAGCAATTATAATTATTATTTTTAAAGTTATTTTTATGGCTTCCTTTTGGGTGGTTCATTTTTACATTTAATTCTTGACTGGATTGTCAATCTTTATTCCTAAGAAGGAGTCTATTTACTTACCACATGAAATACTAAACAAATGCAACTGTATTGTTCTAAAAAAAATTATAGTTTATACCAGGTAATCATTTAGGCTTGTTCAGAGGCTTTGCCTTTTTGGCAGACTTTCTATTTGTGTTGATAAAGGATAGCTCCTCAAAAGCAACAACTTGTTACTTATTTACTTTTTCTAAGATCTTTTAAATTTAAATTTAATCTGCTTTCTATTGGACTAACTTTCTGGTTACCCTGTTTGTTTTGCTCCTAATGATTTCCAAACCGATGGATCTTCCTAGGTTATTGAGCATTGCATTTCATTTACTCTCTTCTTCTTGGACTGCATTTTCTCTGTTTCCTACTATTTCCCTATCTGTTTCTTTGTCTTCTCACTACTGTGCTGTCTGAACTGCCCATTCCCAAGACCAAGAAAGGCGTAGCATTTCTTCAGCTGTAGTAGGATGAGGGGTTTGAGGAGAGAAGTGAGAGATTGCAGCTGCCAGGGCAACTGCCTGTCCAAGTTTGCTTTTTGCTTCCTCCCCGTCCTGGCTTGTGCCTTTGCACAATTTCATTTACCTCCACTTGCTCCGTTTCCCCATCTGTAAAATTACAACAGAGTGTTTAGGAAATAAAGGCACAGAAATGAAAACGAATTACTATTATTGTTTATTTCTTACTAATGCACAAGGCCTCAAACCCCTCAATGGCAGTAATTACTTTTTTTTTTTTTTTTCTCTTATATAAAGAAATGAATAATTTACCTGAGAGAATCTGGACTATTTCTTTCAAGCTTATAATATCTTAAAGATCAGAAGTGGGCACTAGTATCACATCACAGGTTAAGAGAGTTTAAGCATCAGCTTTCTTCAATCATGTCTAAACCTTCTGGCATCTCTGAATCAGCTGAAATACACTGCTAGAATGAGCTGATGAAATCAGTTCCATTTCCACCCCCCTGCACTATATATGAAAGACCAAATCATGGTGTATGCACCCAAACTTACAGCCCAAACTCCAGGAGCAGGGTGATGAGCTCAGAGTCCAGTCTTTGGGGTTGTGAAAACCATGAAATCCAAACTTGAATGAAACTGGCAAGCTGGGGCCGCTGCAGCCCAGAGTGGGCTGGCAATGCCATGCCTAGATCTGTGTTACACGTGCCTCTCTGTGCAGCCCTCTGGAGACACTGGGAATGAGGATTGCCAAAACAAACTTAGTAACAAATGGAGCAAAGTGCACTGAGTGCAGGTGTGCTGTGTAGATGTTGTGGTTTAACCTGGCGGGTAGCTAAGCACCACACAGCTACTTGCTTTACAAGCCCCCCACAGGCAGGATGGAGGAGAGAATTGGGGAAAAAAAAACCTAAAATTAATGGGTTGACATAACGACAGTTTCATACAACAGAAATGGAAAGTCTTATTCTTACTACTACTACCACCACTAGTTAGAATATACAAAATAAGCAATGCACAGGGCAACTGCTCACCACCTGCTGACCAATGCCCAGCCTGTTCCCAAGCTTTCCCCCAGCTTTATGTGCTCAGCATGATGCCATATGGTATGGAATGTCCCTTGATCAGTTGGGATCAGCTGTCCTGGCTATGTCCCCTCACAACTTCTGCATGCCTAATCCACTCATTGGTGGATTGATGTGAGAAACTGAAAAGTCCTTAACTTAGTGTAAGTCCTGCTCAGCAACAAGCAAAACATCAGTGTGTCTTACCAAAAATGACACAAAAACTTACTGGTGGAGTGCTGTATGAGATGATGGTGTGGTTCCAATAGCAAAAAATTTGAAATATTGTAATAAGAAGTGAAAGTCAAACACAAGTAAATAATTTTAAAGAACAATCATCACTGCTTCTGGGACATGTAGAGCAGAGATTCCAGTTACAGGAAGCCTATGTGTCTCAAAGATAGAGATGAGGGGGCGAATGGCAGCAAAGAGATTCCATACCTTGTCTTCTGCTTACTTAAGAAATCCTGAGTGTTTGAGCTTCACAAAGGCAAATGGGAAACAGCAAGTGGAACTGAAAAATCAGTGGAGGTGCTCACTGCTGCACAGATGCGCCATCCCTGAGCAGCGTTCAAAGCTGGGTTGGATGGGGCCCTGATCAACCTGGTCTACTAGAAGGTCATGGCAGGAGCTTGAAACTAGATGATCTTTGAGGTTCTTCCAACCCAAACCATTCTATGATTCTATGTGTTTCTCTAGTAAAGGGACCTGTGCATTTTCCAAAGCAAGAAGGCCAGGAAATGTCTTTGCAAAGACCTTGTCCTGCATAGTTTGGGCCAATCTCAATGCTCTGCTTTACAGGAAGAGAGGAGAATATTGCACAGCAAGAGAATTAATGGAGAGAATTAGTCTCCTATTTTGTACTAGGATATGTTTTGTATTTTTATAAGAAATTCATTGTGGATGATGAGGCAAAAGCTTTGTCATATTGCAGTAAAAATTGGCAATAGAAACTAATTAGAAGTTCTGGGCAATTTAAAAAGCAAATTTTATTCCCATTTTCTCTTCCCTTCACCAAAGCTTTCATGTGCTGAGTGCAAGAATAACTGTGGTGTTTTCACCCTACCAAAATTCCCCACTGATCATTCTGCGCAGTTGTGGTTCCATGCAAGAGGGAAAAAAGCTTCCTGCCATCTGTTCTAAATTAGATATCTTTTCCTATTATATTTCCCTGTTTTATTGTTTTTGTTGCTGATGAAGTAGTAAGTTAAATTTTCAGTATTTCTACCCTTCAGAGTTTAGACAATTCCCTTTATTTTCCATGCTGCTGCTCTTACATTAAGCCATAGTATCATGCTTTCAACAGCACAGTAACATCACTAAGCTTTACAATTTTATAATTCATTACACCTATTCCTAGCATGGTATTTAAATAATGACAAGAACATGAAACACCCAGTTGGGATATTTCTAACACTGGAGGCCTTTGGATTTCCTCTTTTCCATCTCCTGTAGCATCATCAATCTAGTATCCACATTGTTTCACCAACAAACTCCTTGACTATTTACTACTTTTCTACCTAGGCATTAATGGATCTTCTTTCTATACCTCTTGGTACGCGAGAAAGTCCTTCTTGGTCGAAGGTTGGACTGAATGATCCCAGAGATTGGTTCCAACCCTGATTACTCTGTGGTTCATAAACAGGCTTTTATTAAAAATTGTACCATTTCACGATTCCTTTCTTTCTAGCTGTCCAATTGGCTCTTTAATCGCTTTGCCGTGTTACAAACATTTCTAGAGGGCTTCACGTTACCTGCAGGATTTGTGTCACACCAGCACGCTCCACTAAACTCCCTTAATCCCTTATTTCTGCTCACGGGCTGCTTTCGGCTCTGTTTTTAAACCTTCACCGGCGGAGCCGCTGCCGCTTCCCCACCTCCTGGAAGAGTTTGCTGCCATTTGCCACGCCGTGGGGTGGAACCCAGCCAGGATTAAGTTAAGCGGTGGTTCCCAGGCAAAGCAGCCGCGGGACGCCAGCTGGGACTATTTGCTTTAGCCCCGTTTTCCCACCGTTTACCGGGGGCCGCCTCGGACGGGGGAAGGGGGGAGACCTTCCATTTCCCGGTCTCCCCGGGGCTCTCCGTCCCCCGCGGGGCGCGGGCAGGTGACAGCGCTGCACGCGCGCCCGGTCCCGTGACGCGCGCGCCCGGCTGAGCGGCGCGTGACGGCGGCGGCGGCGCCAGCAGGTGTCCCCGCGCCGCTTCCCGGGACACCCCGGGCTGGAACGGACCGCGGGGGGATCATCGAGTCCAAAGGCCCTGCCAAGGCAGGGTCACCTAGAGGAGGTCACACTGGAACGCGTCCAGGTGGGTTTGGAATGTCTCCAGAGAAGGAGACTCCACCACCTCCCCGGGCAGCCTGTTCAGTGCTCTGCCACCCCCAGCGCAAAGAAGTTGTTCCTCGCGTTGTTGTGAAACTTCTTGTGATTTACTTTATGGCCACTGCTTCTTGTCCTGCTGATGGGCACCGCTGAAAAATGTCTGGCCCCACGCTCTTGTCACCCACCCTGGAGACATTTACGTGCATTAACGAGAGCCCCTCTTCAGTCTTCTGCAGACTAAACGGGTCCAGCTCCCGCAGGCCCTCCTCGTAAGAGAAACTCCAGATCCCTCTAGGGTCTGTTCTTGGCGTGGGGAAAAACTCCGAAAAGCCTCTTTGCAACTTTCGGGAGCTGGGAAGGGGACGGGACTGCCACCGAGAACAGCTCTGGCTCCGGGGAGCGGCGCATCTCCAGCACGGGAGATCCCACAGGGAGCTCGCTGACCCCGCGGGGAACCCCGCTCCCGCCACGCTGGGACACGGCGCTGGGCGTCTGGGAGCTGCTGTGGGGCCGCTCGTCCCACGCAGGCGGCGGGAGCAGCGGCGGCTCCGGAGCGGCACCGCCAGAGCCGGGCGGTCGCAGCTCCGCTTCCCGGAAACCCGAGCACCGCCACTTTTACACTTTTTATTTTCCATGGGGGGGGGGTGGGGGTTCCCCGGGTGGGGGGAGAGGGAGGAGGGGGAATCCCCCCGCGCGCGCCGGCAGCTCGCGACCGCCGCCTCCCCGCCCCCGTCACGCGCGGTTCCCCCCGTTCCTGGCCCGGTCACCTGACGGCGCCCACGCCCTCCCCCCACCCGCGCGTGCGGACGGAGAACAAACGGCCTTTTCCTTTCCTTTCTCTCCTTTTTTTTTTTTTAATTTTTTTCCCCTTTCCCCTCTCCGCCTTCTCCCGACTATAAATAGCTCCTGCGCGCCGTGCGTGTGTCACGTTCCCATTACGTGCGCCTTACGCTGACGCACGGGGGCGGTGCGCTCCGTGACGTCAGCGCGTATCCGGGCCAAGCTATAAATACCCTTCCGGCGGCCCGTGCCAGTGGCGGGCGCGCGCCGCCGCTCCCGGTGCCGCTTCCCGCGGGAGCTAGCGGCCCCGCGGCCTGGCTTCCTTCAGGGGATGGGGGCTGCATGCGGACAGGCCCACCCGGGCAGGCAGCTTGCTCCTCTGTGAGGGCCGTGCTGCGCTCGGGCAGCAGGTGCTGCTGGCTCTGCCTCCCCCTTTCGCGGGCCCTGAGCAGGCATTCACAGCCTGTTCAGAGTTCTGCATCATGACATGTTAAAGGCTTGGAAAGGATCTTAAAGATTAACCAGCTCCAACCCCCCCTGACATGGGCAGGCACATCTCTCACCAGACCAGGCCACCCAGTGCCACGTCCAACCTGGCCTTGAGGAGGGCCGTGGATGGGTCATCCATGTCTGCCCTGGGCACCATGTTCCGGTTTCTCACAACCTCACAGTAAAGAATTTGTTTCATATGTCTAACTCAAAAGTTCCCTTTATTTCAGTTTGAACCCATTACTCCTTGTCCTATCACTACAGCTCCTGATAAAAATTCCTTCTCTGGTTTCCTTCATGTAGGCCCACTTCATTTACTGGAAGGTTGCAATGAGGGCTCCACACAACCTTCTTCTCACCTCCAGGCTGGACAGCCTCAATATTCTTAGCATGTCTTCGCAGACTTAACAAATCATTATGTGCCCAAGTGCTGGCTGTGAGTTAGTAATTCAGGAGTCACTCTGCAGACAGCCTGAGTCTATGTGCAGCTGAGATGGGAGTACATAGCAGAAGCTCTAACTTCAGTGCCGCTGTTCTTTCTCTAGTCTGAGATCCCAGGCAGGGTTACAGGTAATCTCTGTCTATTTTAGCTGGTTGTTACAAACATAGGCAATGTATTCCCAGCTATACAGTGGGTGTCTCAATAGACTTAGCCGCAGCTATCTCCCAAGAGGTAGGCAATGTTTTTTTTGGATCCCTGTAGGTCCCAGAGAGAAGTGAATGTTCACAGAGCCTAGGCAAGCTCTTTAGCTGGTGGTCTGCTGTGTAGAAGTGGCTGTGATGGCTGGTCTCTCTGTGTCAGCAGTCTCTGTGTGTCAGCAAGCACTGGGCCCCTGGGGCTAGGAGTGTATGTAGCAAGATAACTCATTTTGCAAGCAGCTGTGCTGGCTGAAGATGCAACTCTCCCCCAGTGATTTGCTGCTGTTCCTCTGCCAGAGTTACCGCCCCCACAGCTCTTGAGTTGATGTTGGATAAGCAAGCAGCTGGATGAACTGTACTAATACTGCCTGAGGTGCCCTAAGGAGGATTCCTGCGATCTCTCTTGCTGACAGAGATTTGGACTTGGCTGTCTATGGCTGTCTGTGACGGCAGTGCCACCTATTGCAGTGATACTCAAAAAGAGATGCCTGTCTGTCACTTTAGGCATGGGACAACTTTTCCATGAGTACATGGGGTACCTGGGGTTCAGGGTGGGTACACAAATCCTCAGGTCAGCCTGGTTGGTAACACCTCTGGGTCTGTTCACAGAAGGGCTGTGTGCCGGCTAACCTCTTTGGGTGAGAGTGCAGGCATGGACAGCATGTTTGCCTTTCCTGTCCGGCTGTCTCACTTGCATCCTAAATGTGTAGGGCTAGGTTCAAAGATAGTCCTGTCTGAATAATCTAATGGAGAACAGTTCTGTAAAAAGAAATTCAATTCTAATGCTTAGACTATTGCTAAATGGTGTTAAAACAAATCGTTCCTTAGTTTTAATTGTAAGGTTTCTGAGTAAAGGAGCATCACAGTTGTCTCTCATACCCCTTACTGTTAGCACCAAGGTGTGTGTTTTTTTCCAGAGCGTCATTGCAAAGCAGTAACAAAGAAAATTTAAACAGCATATTTACTTAATAGAACTGTTCTAGTGCTTGGGGTTTCAGGAAATCCAACAATTTTAATGGCCTTCTAGTGTGTAGTTTGTTGGCCTTCTTTGTGCTTCATTTTGTAGGTTAACATCTAAACCTTGGTTGATTTGCTTTAATTAAAATACTTGATGTTACATTTTTCTTGTCTTGTGCTTTTATATCAGTGGAGTTCAGTAAAGCAACTTCTCTCACTTGTGGAATCAGCCACGTTGGTGATTTAGGGCTTCCACCGAGTTCTGTGCATTCGGGGAGTTTTGTATGTGTTTTCTGGTCCTGGTAGAGTAGACAAATTAATTTCTGTCTGCAAATAAAGTAAAAATATTGCAACTAGTAGTGTGTTGAATAGTGATACTTGTAATTTCTAATTGCTAGTCAGCATTCTAGGGCATATTTGACAGTAATTTCTCGGACAAGTGTGAACATTTTTAAATCTCACAGTGTTTTGGATGTATGTCCTCCTCTGAGGTACATGGTCTGTTGGAACATCATTCAGGGACTATATCAGCCTTCTACCATCATCTTTGATGCTAGAACCAGCTTCTGTTCTCAAGCAAATGGTTTACTTCAGTAATTGCATTCATGGAGAGAAACTCAGTGGTTCTGCAGTTGCTTTCTCTGTAAGGAGGAGAATTTTCCTACCCTGAGATGGCTACACAGGTGAGCTGAAACTAGGAACAGCTCAGTTATCTGTGACAGATTTCTTTTGGCATATTCCACCATTGAAATAGGAGAGATTACCTGTGACATCATCAGTGGAACAGATGGTATCATTGCCATTGCCTAGTCATCCCCAAATTATGAATTCCAAGCCACTGACAGCTGTCCAGAGGCAAGGGAAAAAGATGAAAGGATCTAGTTATTAACAAGCTCTCAAGCAACCTTTCTGAAAATGGTGGAGTCGAGTCACAGCACTGTCTTCCCAGGAAATGTTGGCTTAGGATCTGTTTTCTGTGAAATTTCAAAGAGAACTTTGCTGAGAGCTGTCATACAGTGTGCCACTGGTAGGTGAAATGTGATCTTTAGATGTATTTGACTAAACACACTCTTAGCAAGCTTCCATTAAACTCAACTTGAGCTTTTTGTTTGAGATTGAAGTGTTCTACTGATGGGCGATTTAAGGGTTTTTGATAGCAAAAGCATTTAGGTGTGCAGTAAACTCTATTCCTGCGGAAAGTCTAGAGTTGAGACAGTTGAGAGTGGGTCAAGAAAAGCTAGCTTTAACATTGTGTCACTTGATGGCAGTACCCAAGGCCTTGAATTCAGGAGGAAGAAAAAAGTGGGAAGTCAGAGGTGATCTTGGTGGGGCTCAGCCCAAAAAAAACCCCAACAACTCTCTCAGTTCATGTGCATGGACAAGAATTCTACCAGCGTAGTGGTTCATTTGAATAGAAGGGAAATTTAACTGGGACAAAGATAGAGCTTAGGGAAAAGCAAAGAAAGATGAGTTTGACTCAAAGTCATACTCTGTAGGGTAATAAATCAAAAAGCTCGTCTCCTTTATAGCTGTTTTCTCTGGCTTGGATGCTTCTTAATGCTCAGTGTTGAGAGTAAACAATCCCCTACGATGATGATCAGACTAATCAGAAGTGTTTCTGTCATTGCCAATGGTAAACAGTAAAAATATATTTGCAAGAACACTTAGTCAGATATTAAAATAACAAAATCTGATATTAATGTGACAATATTGTACATTCTTTGGGTACTTCAAATGAAATTATTGGTGGAGTTTTTCTGTTTTGGTTTGGTTTTTTTTTGGTGTTTGTTTTTTTTGGTTATTTTTTTAAATATCTATTCTTTCTAAAGGTTTGATCTCTAACTTCAGGTAGATCGCAATACTCGTCAGTGAAGTCACTCCAGTCTGTTTTACAGAATTCAATGTGTCAGGTACATTTTCTAAATACAAAAAAGAAAGGCATTCTATTCTTTATGTGATATATGTCTAGGAGCAGATTTTTGTTTTATTTTGAGCAAATTCCTATTGATTTTTTTCCAGAAATGTTTCATTTGTTGAAGTGAAGAAAATTAATTTAGAAAAAACATGTTTGGATGGAATATAACAGCATGCATGATTGTATTAAAATCCAGTTTGGTATCT